CACAGGACTGGAAAAAGTCAGTTTTCATTCCAATCCCTAAGAAAGGCAGTGCCAAAGAATGCTCAAACTACCACACAATTGCACTCATCTCACACACTAGCAAAGTAATGCTCAAAATTCTCCAAGCCAGGCTTCAACAGTGAACTGTGAACTTCCAGATGTTCAAGCTGGTTTTAAAAAAGGCAGAGGAACCAGAGATCAAATTGCCAACATCCGCTGGATCATAGAAAAGCAGGAGAATTCCAAGAAAACATCTATTTCTGTTTTATTAACTATGCGAAAGCCTTTGACTGTGTGGATCACAATAAACTGTGGAAAATTCTTCAAGAGATGGGGAATACCAGATTACCTGACATGCCTTTTGGGAAATCTGTATGCAGGTCAGGAAGCAACAGTTAGAACTGGACATGGAACAAAAGACTGGTTCCAAATAGGAAAAGGAGTATGTCAAGGCTGTATATTGTCACCCTGTTTATTTAACTTATATGCAGAGTACATCGTGAGAAATGATGGGCTGGAGGAAGCACAAGCTGGAATCAAGACTGCTGGGAGAAATACCAATAACCTCAGATATGCAGATGACACCACCCTTATGGCAGAAAGTGAAGAAGAACTAAAGAGCATCTTGAGCAAAGTGAAAGAGGAGAGTGAGAAAGTTGGCTTAAAGCTCAACATTCAGAAAACTCAGATCATGGCATCTGGTCCTGTCACTTCATGGCAAATAGATGGAGAAACAGTGGAAACAGTGGCAGACTTTATTTTTTTGGGCTCCAAAATCACTGCAGATGGTGACTGCAGCCATGAAATAAAAAGATGCTTACTCCTTGGAAAAAAACTTATGACCAACCTAGACAGCATATTAAAAAGCAGAGACATTACTTTGCCAACAAAGGTCCATCTAGTCAAGGCTATGGTTTTTCCAGTAGTTATGTATGGATGTGAGAGTTGGACTATAAAGAAAGCTGAGCACCAAAGAATTGATGCTTTTGAACTGTGGTGTTGGAGAAGACTCTTGAGAGTCCCTTGGACTGCAAGGGGATCCAACCAGTCCTTTCTAAAGGAAATCAGTCCTCAGTGTTCATTGGAAGGACTGATGTTGAAGCTGAAACTCCAATATGTTGGCCACCTGATGTGAAGAGCTGACTCATTTGAAAAGATCCTGATGCTGGGAAAGACTGAAGGCAGGAGAAGGGGATGACAGAGGATGATTGGATGGCATGACTGACTCATTGACATGAGTTTGAGTAAACTCTGGGAGTTGATGATGGACAGGGAAGCCTGGTGTGCTTCAGTCCATGGGGTCACAAAGAGTCAGACACGACTGAGCAATTGAACTGATCTGAACTCATTAAAAGATTCATACCACTTCATGGTAAATTTTAGTTTACTAATAAAAGATCTACCCTCATAAGTACATGACAAAGTTATTCTCCCTTGTCTCCATTGTACTTCTAAGAGGTAACCATTGATAGCAGTTTGGTGGTCCTTGAAACCATTTTTTTTTGGATTTACACACATACCATTCAAATGGAAATGAACTTGTTATATATGGAATCATACTGTATATACATTGTTACTCTATAAAGGCCTTGGAAAATAGTCTTGCCCTATATATATTGATTCAACCCCATCATTTATTTCATGCTATAGAGTTCCTTAGTTTAGTCACCCCTGCCCCGAAAGCAGCTTTGTCAATTTACCACTTCCAATGGCTTCCCATTTCCTCACCCCCTGGTCAATGTGGGATATTTAGAATTATGTAAATTTTTACCAGTGTAATAGGCAAAAAGTATTATCTCTTTCTTTTATTTGCTTCCCTTCAAGGAAATTTATTTTTAATATAGGACTTGTTTGTTTTCCTTTCATCTGTGACCTGCCTATTTATCATCTCTGTCCTTTTTCTACTGGATTGTCTATTTTTCTTTATTAGTTTGTAGGACTATTTAATGCTTTCTAGATATTAGTGTATTGCAGTATTTTCTCCCAATTGTATCTATTTATGGTATGTTTTATTAAGAAACACTTAAAACTTTAAAACTTTCAAGTAGCTAAATTTATTTTTCTTTGTAGTTTCTTTTAAAAATATTTTTGCTGCACCGCACAGAATATGGTACCCTCCCCGCAGACACAATTACAAACTTTTCTGTGGAGAAACCCAACCAATACCCTTAAGTCACTTGCACAAACTGTCAGGATGTGCCCCTAGGAGGGAAACAGAAAAATCATACTTCCGGTGGTATTTCTGACAAACGTGTATAATTTGAATCTAATCATTCGAGGAACCCCCCCCCACAAAACCCCCCAATAAAACCCAAATTGAAAAACAGGTTTCAAAATAGGTAGTCTGTACTTTTCAAAAAAAAAAAAAGGTACTGTCACAAACACAAAGAAAGTCTTGGGAAGTGTTGCAGATTAAAGGAGATCAAGAAGACATGATAACTGAAGACAATGCAAGACCCTAGTTTTTTTTCTCTTTTGAGTTATGAAGAACATTATTGGAACAAATGACCAAATCTAAATACGACTAGAAAACAGTATTATATCAATTTCCTGATTTTGATAACTACATATAGAGTTATGCAGTGTTCTTGTTTTTAGAAAATACTATAGAATGTAGGGGCAAAGGGGCACACGTACTTGTAACTTATTCTCAAGTAGTTCAGCAGAAAAGGAAAACGATATATATTACACTTGTTTTATCCTTTTTTTTCTCTCTCCATCTCTCTCTTCTGTCCTCCCTCTCTCCATTGAGAAAGAAAAGGTTAAATAAATGTAAAAATGACAACATCTGGGGAAACTGGTTGAGGATTTATGAGAATTTTTTGTATTATTCTTGCATAATTTCTAAGCATGAAATTATGTCTCTTAAAAAAAGATATACTATACATTCATGTTCAAATTCTTTTATGGATCTACACTTTCATTTATTTTGGCTAATAATATAGGAGCTGAATAATATGAGTTGTATTAACATTTTAGATGAATTTTTAATTTTGTATGTGCCAATTTTTCTCCCAAAATAGCTGTATCATTTTACATACTCTACAGCAGTAGGTGGAAGTAGGTATGGAAGTTTGTTTTTCTATATCTTTTAATCATTTGTTTTCTAGTATTTCAAATCACTTTAATTTTCATTTCTTTGTTAGCTAATGATAAGCAATTTTTGATGTGGTCATTGGCCATTTATTTATATTTTCTTGTGAAGAATTTATTCAAAATTTTGCCAATTATTAAAATGTATTTGATAGTTATTTTTAAAAAAGGAGAGATATCATGTCAAAAGAAACAAAACCAACCCAATAACCCAGTGGCTTAGAGGTAAAGAATCCGCCTGCAATGCAGGAGATATAAGAGATATGGGTTTGATCACTGAGTCAGGAAGACACCCTGGAGGAGGGCACGGCAACCCACTTGAGTAATCCTGCCTGGAGAATCCCATGGACAGAGGAGCTTGGCGGGCTGCAGTCCACAGGTCACAAAGAGTCAAACACGAGTGAAGCGACTTAGCATGCATGCTTGCAACACAGAATCAGGCAATAGTTTAAAAAGTAAACGTGCTGACTTTGCTCTTCTAGATAAATTACTTTGCTATTTTAAGAGTCTAAAAGAGTTAAACAAAGTACTGGTGTAAAACTACCTTGGAGGAATGCTGGAATTACCTGAGGTATGCTTTCTAGTCGACCTGCCAGTGCAGGAGACCGGGGTTTGATCCCTGGGTGGGGAAGATCCCCTGGAGAAGAGAATGACTACCCACTCTAGTATTCTTGCCTGGGAAATCCCATGGACAGAGAAGCCTGGCCAGTCACGGTCCATGGGGTTGCACTGATCAACTAACACTTCCAGTTTTCATGCTTTCCAGGACTCTGATTAAAACAACCAGATTTCAAACAATTTTGAATTTGTTCGAACAGGGCAGGGAAAAAAACCCCCTCTATTTGCAGCTAAAATCTTAACTGCAAAATATAACTACTCCAAGCTAAGACACCAGACACAAAAGAGTTTGTACTGGAAATTCTCTGGCAGTCCTGTGGTTAGAATTCCATGTTCTCACTACTGAGGGCTTGGGTTCAATCCCTGGTCAGGGAACTAAGATTCCCACAAGTGGCATGCACCTGCCCAACTTTATATTGAATGGTTCTAGATGAAGTTTTAAAACAGGCAAAACATCTATGGTCAAAGTAATCACTTTTTTTCCCCCTGAGGGACAGGTAGGTAGTATGATTGATTGGGCAAGGAAGGGCACAAGAAATTTAATAGAAATCCCATATTGGAACTTCTCTGGTGGTCCAGGGGCTAACATGCCACACTCCCAATGCAGGTTCAATCGTTGGTCAGATAACTAGATCCTACATGCTGCAACTAAGACCGGTACAGCCAAATAAATAAATAATATATATTTTTAAAAAATCCATATTTTGATCCCTACTTACTTCACATTGTATGCAAAAATAAATTCCAAACAAACTCAAAATAAAACAATAAATACTACTCCACAATGCAGACTTTTTAAAAAGCAATTTTAAAGCAAAGGACAGTCTTTCAATATACAAGAAAAAATCTAGGAGCCTGGACAGCTCCTAAAATAGGAGCCTAGATAGCTCAGTAGGTAGAATATCAGACTTTTAATCTGAGGGTCCAGGGTTCAAGTTCCTGTTCAGGCGTGCTGTCCTCTCTCTATTTGGGGGCTTCCCCGATAGCTCAGTTGGTAAAGAATTGACCTGCAGTGCAGGAGACCCCAGTTCAATTCCTGGGTCAGGAAGATTCACTGGAGAAGGGAGAGGCTCCCCACTCCAGTATTCTTGGGCTTCCCCGATGGCTCATCTGGTAAAGAATCACCTGAAATGCGGGAGACCTGGATTTGATCCCTGGTGTGGGAAGATGCCCTGGAGAAGGGAAAGGCTACCCACTCTAGTATTCCGGTGTAGAGAATTCCATGAACTGTATGGAGTCGCAAAGAGTCGGACACGACTGAGCAACTTTCATAAAATCTAGAACCCATATAGGTTGATTGCATTGCCTGTATTAAAGATAAAAATTTGAAAGACCAAAACACCACAAAGTAGTTAAGTCAAATAATAAACTGGGAAAAAACAATTGTGACATTTTATAGAGAGAAAGCACTATCAAAAGTCAGTAAGACTAACAACCCAGCAGAAAAATGGGCAGCAGGCATGAAAAAGCAATTCAGAAGATACAGGCAGTCAGTTATCAGAAACTGTTTAACCTGTGAAGAAATAGAAATAAAAACTTTAGCTGTGGAGAAATTGATACAATGAGATACTTTTCTTCTATATACAAGGCAACATTAAAAAGACATAATATTCAGCATTAAGTGAAAATTTAAAGAAACAGGCACCCTCTGCAATTCCCTGATGTTGCTAGTTATTAACCAGTACAGCCTGTTGGGGAACTATTTGTTAAGAACTATTTTTAAAGTAAAATGCACATATTTTTTGACCCAAGAATTCTACTTCTCTAGTTAACAAAAACATATTCCTTCAGCAGAGTTAATTCTGGTTCACGGCCATGCTGAAAACTGCAACAAATAGTCTAGTAATAAGACTGAGGAGCTCAACTGTGGTATAGTCATACGAAGAATGATTATTCACTGTTTAAAAACACTTGAGGTTTTTATTTTCAGCACTATTGAAAATGCCCTTTACAGGCTAAGTAAAAAAAGTACAGAATACTGTGTGCAGTAGCAACAATTTTTTAAGGAAAGACAAAGGTACACAGGTGTGTGAACATCCTTCTGTATTCGTTTTTAGGTGACTTTAGACAAACAGAAGTCTGGGAAAATATGCCCATAATCTTAATAATGGATTGCCTCCTTTATTTAATGCCTACTGTGTTCCTAAAAACTTTTAACACAAGGATTTCTTTTTCTGTTAAAGAGAAAAAGAAAGCAAAAAAGGAGCTCCACAGGCTCTATTTCTCCCTGCCCCATAATAGTCTATCTCTGTTGATTTTTTTCCCCTTAATTTATTTATAATTTAAGGATAATTACAATATTGTGTTCTCTATTGATTTTTTAAGTACTCTGCTTTGGAAAAAAACATTGACTTGGGCAAATTGAAAACTGCATGATGAACTGTGGACCACACAGTGACTTCATTTCAAAGTGAGGTCACTGACTTGCTATTTTCCCAGAGCTAATACACCACACAGCCTGGTCAACACTGGTGCCTGCCTCTCAGACATTTCACACCCAGTCTTCACCGCTGGCCAGGTGAAGGTATATCATTTTGTTTTGGGGACTGAGCAACAAAACCTCCAATTACCAAGAGAACTTTCAGGATAGCCCAAATGCCCAGTTTTAGCTCATTCTTTCCTAAAACAGTACTTGGATGTCACTGAATTCAATTAGGAAGTAATTCATGAGCAAATACTAAGTAGGAAAACAAGGAAGACAAAGCTTCTGTCCTCAACAACCTGAAATTCAAGCTGGAGCAGTGCAGAGGACCTAAGGAGAGAAGACTTGCTACTGGTGAGATCAGAAGTTGTCTCGTGATGAACTAGGACTCGAATCCAGACAGATGGGGAAGAGGAGTGGATGGAGTAAACCACAGGTTTGGGACCTAATTGCAGGTGGATGTAACAGAGGAACGTGGTGGGGGGTGGGGAGCGGGAAGGGACCATCTGGGGCAATGGTGAGGGTCTTTAATGCCATGTGGAACCTGGTTTTTATGCGGTAGACAGTTTTTGAAAGCAGCATCTGTAAAAGTGACGACTCTGTTTTTGGCCAGGCGGTATTTAAAAGGGAAGTTATTTTCCACAAGTCAGAGCAATAGGAGACTCAAGTAATCCTAAACACTCTCTACCTCAAGAAGGTTAAGACTCTGGATAAGCACCAGCTGCCGAGAAACCTACAGAAGAAAATAAGTAAAGGTGTCAGTACCTCTTCTGTGCTGAGACTTCCCAAATCCCATGGAAACAAAAATACAATGGAGAGATCTTGAAAGAAAATGCACACCTTCATTCAAGGTCCATCAAAGATTCACAGGGCAGTCCACAGGCACATTAGCAGAGGAAGCCAGTTTGAAAGAAGTTCCTAACATCACCCTCCATACCTTTGCTGGATCTCTTTGATGTCTTCTTATTTCCTTCAGAGGTAATTTCAATTTCATCAGGATTACCTCCCTCATCTTCAATTGCCTAAAGGGAAGGGAAAAGAAAAGTTCACCCAAAAAGGCAGCACGCAGACTTGACTTTCACAGAAGCTTCAGGGGCTGATCTGGAAAGGGCCTCTCCCTACTCATTCATCCCTTCTTTCTGTTGCAGCAAGGGCCCCAGACGTAGACTGATTCTACCGTACCTTGGCTGCCTGGTCTTAGGCAGGCTTACTTAATTATTCCGAGTTTGTTTTTCACTCTGGCATGAGGGGCTAATTAACGTTCTTACCCTGGAAAGCTGTCAGGAGAATTCCTATTAGCCACGAAAAGCAAGCACTCATGGAACAGTCAGCTTATTTTTAGAATCATCATCACAATCTGATTGACCCTATTCTGGGGCCAAATTACCTATGACATTACTCAACACTGTACTGTTCAACTCTCTCCCTGATCCCTTTTCCACATCTGCACTAGCACCATCTGGACAGAATAAGGACATGGCATGGGATGGGACACAGACTACTTCATCCCTCACTCATCTCTCTGACGGATTCCTAAGGTCTAGCTCTCAACCACCAGGGAACCTGCTTCATTGAACAGAGAATTAGAAGGATCTCTTGACAACTCCCGCCTGTCATCCCAAGAGCCTGTCCTTCCCTTGACTAGCTCCCACTTGTGCTCAGCACTGTGTAGGCCACCAAGGAGGCACTCAGAGGGAAAAAAAAACCCACAAAACAATCAATCAAACGAACACAGACCAAGCCTGTCAATGCTGATATCCCCAGACACCAGGCTTCACAATCAGGCTTTTGAAAACCCTTTCTCTACTGCATAGTCCTGGGAGCCCATGTTCTGTTTAAATCCATTTCAAATGCGGTTCTATTTGTAAATAGTTTCAGAAGTCTCAAAGATTCTTAGGAGTATTCTAGCTTGGTAAAGTCTAAGTTCAGAATGAGGCTTGGGGGCTCCACACCTAAACTGTACCAAGAAAAAGAAAATCTCTCCCTTCTCTCTGAAGCTAGAGCCAGAAAGATTTGGAGTTATGTCCTGGCCTGAGTGAGTGAAGTTGCTCAGTCGTGTCCAACTCTTTGCATCCCTGTGGACTGTAGCCTACCAGGCTCCTCCATCTGTGGGATTTTCCAGGCAAGGGTACTGGAGTGTGTTGTCATTTCCTTCTCCAGGAGGAGGGCTCAAACAAAAAGTCCCTACCCTCTTTCTGGAGACAAAAGATTCTGGACCACCAGCAGGAGAATACAACAACTACCCCAGACAGGTGGACCAGTCCGCTCCTCAGGTCATCTCCTCCAGGTGTAGTGTTTACAGGGTTGTCCCTGGGGGGGGGGACTATAGGCTATGAGTCATCCTTACAGGCCTTGCCAAATTACACTTTGTGTGTTGTCACCTCCACCTTCCCCTCTTTTGTTCCTCCTAAAAGAATAAATTAACAAACAAACCAAAGAAGGGACAAAACAATAGGTGAAGTAGAAGAGAAGAGAAGAACTCCAGTACTTCCAGACTTGCTCGGGTAAGGTGGCAGATGGGTATATATGCCAATGGTGTTTGTGTATTTTGAGCACATCCCTAAGACACTGAAGAGGAGAGGAAGAAGGAACAGATTTTTCCCCTCAGAGATGCTGGTGAAAGATCACAGCAGCTTCAACCAACAGCCTCACAGGAAGGTTCAATGCCACCCTATCAGCATCAAAGGCTTGTGGACTATCTGGGGGAATAATGGCTAAAGCCTCCCACCCCCACCACTTTCCCTTTACTGACAGGAAGCCCTAAGGCTAGTAACACCATGGATCACAGGTCCCTGGGTACCAACTCTCCCCTCCTGCATCTTCTTCAGGTAAACACTTCTGTGGGTGAACTGCCTGCCCTGTCTGCTTAGAGGGAGTTAGTGTCTACAGTGAAAGACACACACACTCAAGTTACAAAGGCACTACTGATTCAGAGCAAGTAACTCACCACTCTCCAGCCTGAGTTTCCTTATCTGGATAATAGGAAATAATCCCCACTTCCTCTAAACAGCAATTAATAAACAAAAACCGATCCTCTGTTGTTTGGGAGGCAGGAGAGGGTGGAATGAGTCACAAACTGCACTGCCTGGTGGGGGTTGGGGGTGGTGGAGGATAGGTGACAAAGGCTTAGAGATCACAGAGAAGTCCAAAGATAAGAGACAGTGAAAGGAGCCACCGGAATCACACAGAACAGGGAAAGTAAAAAAGCACACTTAACTCTCTGCTTTTGGAACGCATCCCTCAGAACCCCTCAAGGCAGGGATTAGTAACACCCAGATTGCAAATACCACACAGTGCGCACAGAGAGAAAAGTTCATTGTGACAGCAACTGCACTTTGAATGTTTGTATGCTACAGGTAGCATGCCAAGCACATTTTGGGCCATCTTCCTTAACTCTTAACGACTAAGAATTAATATTTTCCTCTTTTGGTCACAAGGAGAAACAGACCCAGAGAGGGTTAAAATGTCTTTCACGCTCAAGATCGGGTCAAGAGACTGGCAGAGAGAGCCCTTAGGTTCTGAAGTCTAACTGTAAGTTTCATTTCTGGTCTTTATTACAACCATCACTTTTCCTGCCAGGCTGAGTCCCCGAGCCATTCCCCCTCAAACCTGCTCCCAATACCTTCTTGATAAGGTTACTTCGTAAACTACCCCCCTATTCTAGACTTCTAGGCCCTAATGGATCAAGCAGCATCTCTCTACCCAGAGGAGGCCCCCGCAACCAGCACACGATCAGAAAATCGCCCGGCCTGGGTTCAAATCTCGACCTCCCCTCCCCAGCCGAGTCCCCTGACTCCCCAGGAGGAGCGACGATTTCAGGTTCCGCGTCCACCCTCGGGATGGACAAGACCCGAGGGATGAAAGCAGCCGAGGGAAGACCTAAAAAGCAGGGGCTGATGCGGATAACACAAGCTCTCGGCCGATGCCACCCGCCACCTCAAACTTCCCCCGTTCGCGTCGAGATTTTCTTGTTCTTGCCCCGATGCAACGCTGGGCTTTGAACTTGGGCCCGCCGGGGCTCGGCGATGCAGCTCGGGCCTGAGAGAAGCGGGAAGAGGTCCTGGGCAGGCCGCAAATGGGACCAGGGGGGCGGGACCCGAGGCCAGGAGGCCCCTCGTCGCGGCCGCTAGGGTTCCCCGGCCCACCTCCTACCCACCCCCAGGGTCCCAGCTCTACCTTTCTAAGTCGCTCCATCAAAGCGCTCTTGTTGCCGCTCGAGTCCAGGTTCCGTTTCTTCAGCTCCGCCCGCAGATCGATCACCCTAAGGTCGGTGAGGCGCCGCGTCCCGGTCTCCGACGAGGCGGAGCTCAGAGCCGCTGCGCCCGCCGCACCAGAATCGCCTAAGCCGGACAGAGACTCCGCCATTCTAGGGGTCCTGGCTCTGCCGATCACTTCGCACAGAACTGGGCCGGATTTACCACAGCTCCCAGGACGAACTTGGGCCGCCTGTGAGGGAACCGTTCCGACTGCTTCGACGCTACTCTCTTCTGCGCAGGCGTACCCGGCGCCGGTTCAACGCCCGGTGCCGCTTCTGCTCATGCGTAGTGAGAGCCCTGTGATTGAGGTACACGGCACTTTACGTCTTGCCGGCCTCCCGCCGCGAACTGCCGAGACGCATGCGTACAGCAGCTATAGCGCCTGCGCGCTGTTGCCGAGGGCCTGCGGTTGGTCGACGCGCGAGCGACCGACTGCGGCCAAGAATGCCTATTCGGAAGGCGCGCGTGCGCAGCCGGAAAAGGGGGCGGGATGAAGCGAGTGCGTTTTCCTCTCTGGCGGCGCCATTTTGTGCTCAGAGCCGCTACAGCCACCGGCGGTGTGGGAAGTAATTGGCGGGGACAGCACACCCGGGATGGCGGAGACTCTGGCAGGGTCCAGCGACTCGGGTTCTGGCACGGCCGCTGTCGTCTCGGGCGTCTCAGAGGTCGGGACGCGGCGACTCAGCGACCTGAGGGTGATCGACCTGCGGGCGGAGCTGAAGAAGCGGAACCTGGACACGGGCGGCAACAAGAGCGTCCTGATGGAGCGGCTCAAGAAGGTGAGGCGACCCGGGGCCCTGGGGTGCCGCCAGAGACCAAGTAACGCACCCCCGCGGGCCTGTCACTGCGACTCCCTAGTGCGAGGCGCCCCCGGCCTGCATCTCTCGTTGTAAACTCCGGTCCGAACTGTCAGGAGCCACGGGTCGGCTGTGTGACCTTGGCCCGACACCTCCCCTCTCTGTGCCTTGTTGCCTGCTTCCATTCAGTCATCTCAGTATTCTGAGAGCCCGCCTTAGTCGTAGGGTAGGTAGCCCCTGGACTTTTCCCAGGATTGTGTGACCTTGGACAGGTGCTGTCCCCTTTCAGCGCCTCAGTTTGCTCCCCTACGGAGCGGATGATTGAAGAATCTTTGCCATTGCCCGGGGAGGGGAGATGTGCCCGTTTTTGCCCCAGGACGTTTGCGTTCACCGTGCCCTGTACCTGGCGGCTTCTCTCCCAGGTCTCCATCTGGCCGGTGCTTTGTTGTCATTTTGGGGTCTGTCTTGAGATGTCGCCTCCGCGCCCCCCGCCCCAAGTGAAGACTTGCTCCGAGTCCATGACTTCCTGTATCGCACCATCCTGTGTTCATTGTCCCACTTCGCAGCGTTGAACACAAAATTGGGTATGGCGGGTGGTCATCTCTCATGGAATCAGGCTCTTGAGGGTAGGAACCTGGTGAATTCACCGGGGAGTCCCCAGGCACGGGTAAGAAGACACTGTTGCCTTGAACCACCAGCCTCCCCCACTACCCAGGATGTTCTGTGTTCTTCCCTGCCCTGGGTCAGAGCTGTCCTGTTGAGCAGTGCTCAGCCCTTTGCCCACTGCCAGACCAGGTGTAGCCTGTTTGTTACATTGTTGACTTAAAGTTGAGACAGTGTGGAGGTTAAGGACCATTTTGGAGCTCCA